ATGTGCCTTTCATGATTAACAGCATCAAAAACTTTGTTCTCCCCGAATCCATGCTTTCAGAGTAAACAGGGCGTCTAGCACATAGCGGCTTGTACGATGAACCAAGGCGTGGAATTTTAAACCATTTAACAGGTGGGTTGTTCAGTGTCGCTGCAGATTTTCTTTATGGGCAAAACAGGCAAACCAAGCTTTCTTTTGCACATGGAAGAAACAAGGGGCTAGGAAGTCATCCCTGCCTCTGCCCTTGCCTGACAAAATGCATCACAACTTGGCAAGACTCAGATTTTATTTGCTTTTCAGCACACTCTCTATGACAGTCTCTGAATCATTATAATTTTGATACATTTATAAGAAAAATCCCATCTTTACTAGTGATGACTTATTTTATGTCACAGGCACTGTCTTTAAATATAAATATGTAAAAAGCAGTCATGTAAAAAAGAAGATCCTTAAATGGAAAATATTCCCCGTTTATTTTAAACCAGACTTGACCTTGAATCTTGAACATTTTCATAAAGATGCTGACAGCAGGGCCTTCTCAAAAGTGGGACCACTCCATGGCTGAGGCCACTTCATGCATTAGGTAAAATGGAAATGAGATCAGGTGAGCTAGAAAAGAATTCGCAAGTGTTTCTAAATACATGGCATGGCAATTTGCCATTTGCAGGATGAAAATATTAAATACATATAACATACATCATGTATACAGTCTATGAAATGGAAATCGTGGTGCACATCCTGACAGTCCAGAGAATGCTTCCTATTTCTTCCTCACGAAGCCCGGCTGGGCCACGGAGCTGTCTCCCTGCTCCTGTTGGTGCAGGGCTTGTCTTTGTGATTTCCTCTAGAGCCCCCTGTACGTTCACACTCAAGGTTTGGGGAGGGGGCTGGAGCTTGAAGGGCAAGGTGTTAATTCAGATGTTATGAAACTGTGATAATGCTATTATTTAAGGCATTTATTTGGGTGTGTTTATACGTTGTCATTGTATAAATAAACCCAAGGGGCTGCTCTCGGTGTCTCCGTCCTCCCGGCCTCCCGTGTCCTGTCTGTCTCATCCTATCCGACAGTAGAATTGATGCCGCTCTAATCCCTGGAAGTTTGGAACTAATGAACTGACTGCTGAGCTGCCGCCACGGAGCCTGGTCCCAAACTATACTGTACTTCACACTCGATTTATTCTCCAGATGGGAGAGTGTGCCGCCCTGCCGCGAGGGACCACCTCTTCCACTGGAGTGTAAAAGTGGACGGATGTTGTTTTCTTTGCAGATTTGATCATTCTGAGCTAGAAACTTGTGAGGATGATTAGTTATTAGCTTTAATGGGTGCCAGTTGAACCAACTGCACGCATATTTTCTCCTTTAATTTTGGAGTCCGCAGGTCTTGGTGATGGTTGATTTATCTGCTTTCTGACGTCACCCAAGCGTGTCTCCTCCGCAGGTGGCAGGAATCCAGCCTCTGAAATCAGAGCACGCCTTGGTTCCTGGCCCAGACGCAGTCACATAAGATGGTGGCTTATGGATAGGGACAAGTTTATTAGCCCCTGGTCCACTGCACTGAGCAGCCATGGCACGAAATATCGATCAGGTACAGAAATTTGGGGAACATCTTTTTTTTTTTTTTGTACCGGGAATCGAATTCAGGACCTCGCACTTGCCAGGCAGGTGCTGTGCTGCTGAGCTAAACCCCCAGCCAGGCACATTATTTTTTAGAGTCATTCTGTGAAGATTCCAATCCGTGTCAACCATCCCCCAGACCTCTGCAAAGTCTGGGGTCAAACCCGATGCGGAAAGGATGATGGCAGTTTGTCTCCTCAAAGCTCTCCTGGAACTATTGATAAAGGCCTTAATTCCATTATTTAGTCTTTCCCAGCTTGTCAGATCTCAGGGGGACAAGTTCATTCCACAGTGAGGATGCTTCGACAAGACTGTCCTGTAGTGAGACGTTTAGGACACAGTACCCTTAGGGACTCACTGGGAACACCCCACCTTGCTTCCAGGTGGCGAGATTCTCCCAAAATTCTTTCTCCAGTGACTTCTTTACTTCCATGCCCTTTTCTTTCTGACTGCAGGAACGTTCCTCCCCCAACCCCAGCAGGTCACCCTGCGGGTCCTCTGAGAGATGAGTCTGCCAGGTGCCTCCAGAGGGGTGGAGAGACGGAGATGACCGGGCAGGCAGAAAGCCGTGCGTGAGGAGACGGAATTTCTTGCTTTTCACAACTGGGTGGACTGTGACTTTCTCACTGAACACCCAGCACTAAACTTAACGGTTCTTAGAGTCTGCCTTCATTCATCTCAGCCCGACAGACGGCATGGATGTGTTTGCTAGCCCGGCAACATATTCACCATTAAAATGCCAAAAAGAGAGAAAGCACCGACATGCCTGTCCGCTGGTGTACATTCATGAAGTTGTTGCGTGTTTGGGGATGCAGACCAGAGGGACGAATACTTGGTTTAGGTAAATCGCAAAAAGCAACAGCCTGTTAATAAGGGCGTCATGTGGCAATATACCTCCAGAGCCATCATCTCCTTTTGGAAAGGTACAGAGGGATGAAGTGGAAAGAGCTTGGTTTTAATTCTGAGCCAAAATAAAGAAGCCCAATAAAATGCTGAGCATTTGCTGCTCATTATAACATGAAAAGTACTAATCAGATTATGCCCAACATTGGAGTCAGGGACTTCATTTGCGGCCAATTTCGCAAGGGCTGAATTTTCTGAAGTAAACCGGAATGTGCCGAAACCATGGCAATCTGACTTGAGATAAAATTCACAAACAGGTTGAGAACACGCGCTCTGAACAAACAGTCCCATTCACATTCAAGGGAAACAGCAAAGCAACTCAGGGGTCAGAGTCCGTGCAACTTCAACATTAACAATTTAGGAAGTAGGTGTTGCCAGGGTCCTGTGTTGTTGAGCGCACAGACAGATTAAAAGAGAGGGGAGATTGTGATTCCAGTAATTCCAGCTTTAGAAGGCGTCTCAGCCTTGCTGGTCTGTTGAGTTCCCTTCTAGTTTCCATTTACTCTGTCTTAATAGACCTTCTGCAAGGCTGACTTGATTTTGTGTGTGTGTGTGTGTGTGTGTGTGTGTGTGTGTGTGGTACTGGAAATTGAACCCCAGGGCCTTCACACTGAGCTACCTCCCCTGCTATTTATTTATTTACTCATGTCGTTATTTATTATTTATTTAACTTTGAGACAGGCTCTTACTAAATCACTAAATTGGCAGGACGGGCTCAAATTTGTGATCCTCCTGCCTCAGCCTCTCAAGAGTGCTGGGATTACAGGCTTGTGCCACCTCACCCAGCTAAAGCTGACTTACTTTTGAAAGAGAACCTGGGAATCAGAAGGTTTGTGAAGTGGAGAACTCCAGGGTTGGTAGCGAGGATCTGAAGGTTGACACTGCCGGAGAGCACTTTCTCCTACAGCTCTAGAGAGCCTGAGTACCATGACTCTGAGCTAACGTCTGCCTTCGTGTTCACGTGTTCGTATCCGGTGGTGTGAGGAATGTTGGTAGTGCACATGGATGAGGGAGATTTATAGCTGTGGAAAGGCCCAAGGCATGACGAGAAGCCACACGCTCCTACCTTGGGCCAACATGAGGGCCCTCTTGCTTTTGTCTACGCTTGGCCTAATTATTGATGGCTGAAGCGCTGTAAATCAGGATTCCACAGAGCTGTCCTCCGCTGGTCCCAGGTAATGTTTCCATCCGACCTGACAACTCTAAGCTACCGTTTCCTTACACCACTTAACTCAGAACACATTTGGAAGTAGGTCATAGACCTGCCTCCGTCTGGTTTAAATCTCCCATCCTGGCTTGTCTCCTTCATTAGACTTAGACTCCATATTGGCTTACATGACCCTTTCTTGTCTTTTCCTTGGTTTGCTATTTTCCTAGATGATCATTGCTATTCAAATGGCTGTACGTTGTTAAAACTTTTTAAAAAAAACCCCACATTCATCAGCAGTGAGTACCTTTAAAGTTTTATTAGTGCCATAAAAACCCTTCCCAAATGAAACTACTTTTGATAAGCGTTTGTTCTGACAATGCGGATTTGTTGAGGGCTGTTGGCAAGTGGGAGGAATTTGGTTTTGAAACTGAAATTAGCAGGAGCTGATGGCCCAGAGGGCTTTTGGTCTCCCGACACCAGTCCCTGCCCCTCGGTGCACCCTTCTGTCCCCCACTCCACCTTCTTTGTCCCCAAACCAATCCCAGTAAAGATCATATTTGGACCCATATAATTTTTCTTGGGATAATTCAAATCCCGATGCAGAATTTCAACCTTGCAGCTTTTCTCAACTGTGGAGCAAAGTCTGTCAAATCAAAGGGGGAAAAAAGTATTTGTCATGCATTTCATGAAGGATTCCTCAGTGCTGTTACTGCCTTCCACCTGAATAAGTGGGACGTTTTCTTATAATGTGGAGTGTCACATTCCTGCCAGTGCCTTCTTAATTGAATGTCAAGAAGCAACTCACTTGTAAAAGATAAAACAAAGAAGTGAGTAAAAAAAAAAAGCGTGATACATGGGGAAAAGGAAAAACAAATCCTTATTTTTTTCTCTGAATGTGAATTGGCTGACAGATGGGACTGCCATGATCCAGATGTTGTCCTGGGTCTTTTATTTATGAAATGGGAACACTGGTTAAAGAACTTAGAACTATGTTTACCCTCGGTTATTGTCCCATCAGTACAATAACTGCCCATTACACTTTCCCCTTTGGAAAGGGTGGTAAGGAGCAAGATGACACAACCATTAGGAAGACTCCACGCTGTGTCATGGTGGGTCCCAGTCATGAGACAGCCACCTTGTGTGGAGTCTAGAAACCAGTGCCTCATCTGTCAGATTGGGCGACTTTTTTCAGTATCACTTATGTGGTAGGAAATTTGGAGATCTAATAATGGCGTGGAGACTCTGAATTGAGACTTGTTTCACAGAGCAATCACTTGTGTTCCTCTTAATGATCAGACTAAACTTAGGAGACCCTTTTTATTGGCACTTACAGAATGAAGCTCGATTGAGAATAGTAAAAACCCTTGAAGATTTTGACCTGGGCCCGACTGAAAAGTGTGTACGGGTCAGCTCGGTGGCCAGTGGTCTGGCCGAGGAAGACCTGGCGACCATCCTGCAATCCCAGGTCCTCCCTTCCAGCCTGATGCTCCCCAAGGTGGAAAGTCCTGAAGAAATCCAGTGGGTGAGTAGGAACTCTTTGCTCGGAGACTCAGCTCAGTGCCTGGGTGTAGCAGCAGAGAGAAGGACTGGGCACCGTTGGTTTTTTATTCTGGTTGGTTTGTTTTTTCCAGTACTGGGTATTGAACCCAAGTCTTCTTACTGAGCTACATCCCCAACCTTTTTAATTGTTTATTGTGAGACAGGGTCTTGCTAAATTGCTCAGGAGGGACTTGAAGTTTCGATCCTCCTGCCTCAGCCTCTTGGAGTGTTAGGATTACAGGCATGTACCACCATACCCCTGGGTGCCCTAGCTGAGCTGCACTGAAGTCATCACAGGCCGCCAAGGATGTGAGCTGTGTATGAAAAAATGAGCCTAATGTAGGGGAGGAAAAGGTCACTCCTTGGGGCAACTAGAGGAATACACAGGAAGCTTTTAACTAGTGGTCTTAATTAGCAAAGATATTATTTCCTGAACAGTTCTCCAGTATGTCCTTTTTAAATTGCTGACAGGTGTGTTTGAGTTTCAGGACAGACTTTTCAGCCAATAAAAACCTGAAATGTAAAGCGGCTGGCCCATCAAATTACTTAAGAAAACTTTTGAAATAGGCCCAATTATACTATCATTGTTTTAATTGTGAAACGGTTGGGGGGGGGCTAGATTTTATTTGAGGGTGCTGTTATTCTGCAGGTCTGTTGAATAAAATACCATTTCATTGTGCTACTTTGGGTGGAGGCTATGAGATTAGAGAGCTGAATGTGTTTGTTGTCATGGTGAGTGGGCAGTGAGGATGCAAAGTGATATCTCCAAGAGCCAGGAGTGGTGGCGCACGCCTGTACTCCCAGCACTTGGGAGGCTGAGGCAGGAGGATCGCAGCGAGTTCAAAGGCACCCTGGGCTACATGTGTTCAAAGCCGGCCTTCACTACATAGTGAGACCCTGTTTCAGAAAATAAAAATGACAACCAAAGAGTATTATCTTGAAGGGTCTGGGTGTGACCACGGCAACACACTGGATGGTTATAATGCTGATTGGTGAAACTGCTTACTTGCTTTCTACATCTGAGTAGGTTGTATCTATCCTGTGCAACATGGGACTACTGTAGCCCCATGAGAACTGAGTGTGCTAGGACTGCAAAATGCACACTGGATTTTGAAGACTTGGGGGAGGAAGGATGTGAATGTGAACCATCTCAATTTCCATACTGACTGCACACTGAAACAATATTTAGATCTATGAGGTGGAATCTAAGATATTATGAAAATTAACGTCACCTGTATCACTTTACTCTTCGACTGCACATAGCTACTCGCAAATTTAAAATTAAGAGTCAGTCAGGTGTGGTGGCACACGGCTGTAATCCCAGCACTCAGGAGGCTGAAGCAGGAGGATCGCTGTGAGTTTGAGGCCAGCCTAGATTATATAGCAAGACCTTGTCTCCAAAAAACAAAAAACAAAAACAAAAAAAAAGAAGGAAGCCATAAAATAAAAAAAGAAAAATTTAAATCAAAGTCATAGAGGCCTTTATGTCTCTGTTGGGCAGCCCGGGTCGGACTCTGCTTGAGCACGTGTAGTTGAGGAGCAGGTCTTACTTCTAAAATGGGGTTCTCTCCAAGGTCACCCTGAGAGCTGGGAGACGCTGGTCGGAGCGCGCTAATATCTCGAGGGCTCTGACTGCACTGGGATGTGTCTCGCGTTGAAGGGAGTGGGCGCGAGTCACTGTCCGGGTGGGTTTGCCTGTTTATCCCCGCGTCACCCTTCCCGGAACAGGAACGGGAGCACCCAGCCCAGCCTCCAACCTCACCCTCCTCGGGTGCTGGGGCCGCGCTCAAATAGAAACGGGACTTCTGGTTCACAGAAAGTCTTCAGGACTGTTTATTTTTTCCTTCTCCGTTTGTATTTATGCGAAGCGTAAAACCCAGAGCCTGATGCACCACTGAAAGATGGGCTTACTTGTTTCCTTTTGTGTGAGAATCTCTTGCTCGCCTTTTGTCGCTAGTGTGGGTTCTTGTTTGACTGGCACGGCTTATTGGACTGTAACAAGCGTAACTCTGCCTCTTTTGTCGCGGGACAATTCTCCCACAAATCCCGAACAGGGTGCATTCTTCCAACACACTATTGGGTGTGCACTGGAATTGAAAGAATTGCTGAGCCCCGTTCCTTCATCTCCTCCCCAATCTCTTTGTAATTCCCCCCCTTCTTCTCCTCCCCCACCCCGTCCCCTCCACCTCGCTGAAATGAACACTTTACCAGGCCGGAAACATTTAATCGTCTCCTTTTGAAAAAAATTAATTGAAACTTCTCCACTAGTTACCTTTTGTGTTAGTACTTAATGCAATTTTTTAAGAAAGAGCGGGAGGGGGAGAAGGGGGAGGGGCTGGCATATTTAATTTTTAAATGCCCCTATTGGTTTAAAAACAAAGAACGTTCGAGGTTTTACTCCCTAAGAACAGGGAGAATCTTTGAAAGGGTTTGCCTAGCTGTAAACTTTACAATTTTTGTAGTTAGAAGAATTACCATAAAGAACGGGGCAAGAACCTTTTGCAAGTTTTCTCTTTTTCAAAGCAGAAAAGAAAATCTGCATAGCCAACCCCAAAACCACTAATATTTCACTACCTATTTTCTCCCCTAATTGTGACATAAATTATGCCCTATTTCTGTCTGCGTCGAATGCCGCTCGTTGTGTCCCTTGACACAGCGGCTTTCTCTCGGTCCTGGTGCTTTTGGCCGAGTTGCTCCTTGCCTTCAAAGTTCCTAGGAAGGTGATGCTGTCTGAGGAAGGAAGGGCAGGGAGCGATGGGAATCGTTCTTCATTACTGAAAGCTGTGATTTATTTTAGCCTAATTGTAAAGTTACTGCAAATTGCTCAAAAGCTTTTTAAAGATCCCAGTGATTAGATTTTTTTAAAGGGGGGGGGACTGCACAGACAAGGAGGGGCAGCTAAAAGGGGAAATAACACCTCTAATCCCGCTTCTGCTAAATAGGCTGCCAGCTTTTAAAATGAGTTTCCTTTCTATTAGTCAGAATATTATGCTAAGCCTTAAGCATTAGTTTTTTTATGTTGCCATAGCAGCCTTATTCCTGCAGGGTGGTGACCTGTGATGATTACAGTACAAAGCTTATAGGGTCTTGAAACCCCCTTTGAAGATGAAAAGTCTTTGATGGTTTATATTTATGCAAATCTCTTAGATATGATTTACCCAACTGAGACTGAATGGAGAGATGATTAAAATTCCCTTTTCCTTTGATATCCATTAATGGCTGAATATTCCTTAAATTTAAAATGGATATATATATATATACATATGTTTTCATCTTTATTTACAAAAATATCTTTATCATACCTGTGTTTCTTTTTTTATCTCTCCACATCTTATTAGATCTCGATAGACATAATAGATTTACAATTTAGATTGTGGGATTTTTTTTCCCCTTTTGAAGGGGGGGTGGTGGGGGGAATCTGAGCGAGAGCTTTTGTATGTTTCCAGATGATAGATTTTGGAATTTGGGCTACCCCACTGGCAGCCAGAGCTAGCTGTGAACTGGTCTCATGGAAAAAATTGGCAAGCTTTGGTCTTCAAAGAATTAAACTTCCTTTTTAAGGTCTTCCTAGGTAAGCTAAAAAATTATGGAGAAAAACCTTCCGAACAAAGGGCAGTGGTGCTACAGTGAATAATATGGGTTCCACGTCGAAGGCTGCCAAACAGTTCTACCGATGTCAGCGCCGGGCTAAACAAAAACAGTGTGGCAGGTAGAGCAAGACCGCATTGTTTCAAGGGCCCACATTTGCATTTAATGCAGAGGGGGCCAGAGGTCTCCAGTAAGTGTGTTTTCATGGGAAGCATTTAAACCCAGGAATCTCTCCTTCCAGTCTGACTCCTAGGCCTCAAATTGCTCCTTAGGTGAAAAAAAAAAAATTGTGAATGTTTGGGGTTTTACTATGTAGTTTGGTGGGAACTTTATTAGCTCTTTTCTTTTCTTTTCATTTTCTTTTTTCTTTTCTTAAATTCTTTTGTGTGGATGGAGGAGACCGGGATATTACTTCCTCAGGTCAAAGACTTGAATACTGTACTACTTCTCTGTCTACATTTTCAGGATTGTACCTTTTTCTTTCTTTTTTGTTTTCCTGCCACTAATCACCTATGACACTTTTAATTTTAGTTTGCAGGCAAATTTTCATTCCACTTAAAAGGCCGAAAACTCGAACAACCAATGAATTTAATCCCTTTTGTGGAAACCGCAAGGGGTTTGCTCAATTTTAAGGTAAGAAAACCATAGTGTTGGATACATAAGTTAGTATTTTATTTATCACCAAAGGAGAACCTTTGCTCTCAATTTTAACATCTATCTAAAATCGTTTTTAAGCAAGATTTATCGGCAAGGTAAACTTTGCTGTAGTCATCCAAACTCCAGGTTGTCAGCGTCTTAGAAAACAAAGAAATTGGTTAAGTAGACCGGAAAAGCTTCCCAGTCCTAAATATTTAAACGAAATGTTCACATTTCCCTAATAACAACTTTAATTAAATCATCACTGTGTAAATATATGCTTTGGATGGTTGCATTCATAGATTAAATGTAGGTGGAAAATTTATTTTGTTACCCTTACAAGTTAACTTTGAGTTGTTCTTTTTCTATCAGCAGCCTTTCCATGGAGAAATTTTCTGACCTCTTTGTAGCAACATTATCCGGACTGTGTAGCAGATGAGATTATTGTTTCTAAATTCATGTACACAAGTAATTCATGGTCTACTCTTTCATTTGGGCACATTACCACTAAAAATATTTTTAAATCTATGTTCAGGAGAACTGACCGAGCCACGTGTTTCCAACCATTGTGTGGGGCCCTAAGCCACCTGGCCTAGCCAGACCCTTCGCTGGCCTGTTTACTCCCCTTTATCTGTGAGCATTTATATTTTGTTTTCCAAATATGCCTCTCGCTCCCCTTGGCCTGTGACAGCAACCTCGCGCCCCTGCGCACCTCCACAGAGCTTCTAGCCCTCTTTTTTTTCTCTTCTCACCCAGAGGGCAGGAGAAAGAAATCACTAAAAACAAAGGAAAAAGATAGTTGACGTGGGCTGGAGAGGGACTTTGTGAGCAGATGCTGGAGAGAAGCTGCACATCTGTGGGATGTGCAGGAGGGGCTGAGGGCAAATGTTTGGGGCAGTTTCAAGCCTTGCCTTGTGATCAGCTCGTTTCCACAAATAACGACAAATTCCTCCAGCCCACCCTAGAACCCTCAGAATGGAATCGACAGCACATTCCTTCGAAGCAACCAGATCCACACAGTGATTTAATTTTAAGCACTGTTTTGCCATTTTATTCCATAATGTACTTAGGGGCCCTTGCAATGCCTGAAATTAATCAACAGCGTCCCTACTGGGTTCTCATTTCTTTTCCACCCACATGTGTATTAGCAGCTTACATCTCCACCTTTCAAGGTTCCCAGGTCTGTCTATGGCAAATGTTATTAATCTTCACTTTCGTTCAGAGATGTCAAAGTTGCTTTATTAACCCATCATGGACGACTTGTTGCATTTTTATTTTTCCCTCTAAAGTTGTAGGTTTTGTATCAGATGTCTTTAATCCTGAGACTATTTATTTGATCCTAATGCAAATAATCAAATTAGTTTGATTTTAAAATTCTTTCCTTCTCACGTGTGGTTTCATGTTTATTATTTAAGCACCTCTTAAAGCAAAAACAAATTTGGAAAAATGTAAATAACTTATACTACAATCAAAATGAGTTAACTGGAAGTTTCTCTAGAAGTTGGATGACTTACAGTTTGACGTTATAATTATATTACCATGTAGCAATGACTATTACTATCATCCACTGAGTAAAGTTCATATCTACAGGGTTCTTATTTTGGATGTTAAATGCCTTTGGGAAGGGTTAAATTTGGGCTGCAGTTTTAGGCTGGGAGCCGGGTCTCCCTGCTGATAGAGGAACCTGACTCCTCTCCTGCGAACGTTTTTGTAAGACCTGCTTCTCCTTTGCTTTTTGCAGGCCGTGTGTGAAGAAACCCTAAAGATCGGGCCTCAAGTGGGTCTTTTCCTAGATGCAGTTGTTTTTGGAGGAGAAGATTTTCGAGCCAGCATAGGTGTCAAAGACCTTTCTCTCTCGTTCTCTCCCTCTGTGCGGATGTGTGTGTATGGAGTGTGTATAATTTTTTCTTTGCCCCTCGCAAATGGACATTTACATAACAATGTATATTTACCAACCATGCAAATATCTGTTCATGACAATGGCGTGGACACTACTTCCTGATCATTTAGGGCTCCTCCTAGCTATCCTGCTTCCAGAATAGTGCATTATTCTTCCTGTTCATTTGTAAAATAGCTAATAAAAAGCCTGTTGCAGCCTCAGGCATGTTTAGGAACATACAGCCTCTAGTTGGCTCTTAATAGATTTATTACACCAACCACCTTGTGATAACTTAGATATATTGTCTTCACATCGGTCTGGGGCTGCCTAGATTCTAAAACAAATTTAAAGCATTTTACTTTGGCCTCACTGAGTTGTTTATTCCACAGCTGTAGTATGTAAATATCATTTAAGACCGATCTAAAATAGATCTTAAAATATATTCCAGAATTCTTATTAAATATTTACTGGGACACCGCCGGTTTTCACCGATTTCTTCTGCCCCCTCTGGCTCTGGCCTCTGTGTAACTTGACACGTTGAGGGCCGGGGCCACAAGGCCACATCCCGGGGACCTGGAGACACGTTCCCTGAGCAGTGAGTGTCATGCACGGTCCAAGTAGAAACAGTGACACCTTCCAGTCCCCTCAGGGTAGAGAAAAGGAATTTATTTTAATACCAGTCTTTCCAGGAGACTTCCGTGTGGCCGACAATTCCGCAGACTATGGGGCCAGATTGACACTTTGTCCCTCTCCCAAAATGAGTTGTCCTTCTTGTTCCCCGACTGACCCAGCCAGATGTTTGGCTCTGAACCCCAGTTAGGACAGGGGTCGCACGCCCAGCACAATGGGCCCAGCCTATCACCCGCCGTTCTGTACCCTGCGTGAGAGGTAGACAGCCTCCCTGAGCAGCTTCCTGGCCACTTTTTGTGGAGCTGTCTTGAGACTGACACTTGGGAGCAATGACAAGAAGGGAAGAGTCAGGAGTCCCTGGGACCCTGATTCTGGCCCCTGAGAGGAGGAGGGGCCTGTCCTTGACGCCTGCAGAGGTGACTGGCTGTGTGGAGGGAAACAGACACATGCGATTTAATGCCGCCTGCCTGAGCCCCCTCTTCCTTCCTATTTGAAGAATTACTATTTTGCTGCGGAGCAATTCTTAGGGAGACATAGATGTCTTTACAAACTAAGTTTTTATGAGAAATGTCTGGGTTTGTTTTCCAAAGTTAAAGTCTCTTTTTGTGTCCACATCCCATTTTCAGGTGCAACAAGTAGTAAAGAAACCCAGGACATCCTCTACGCCCGACAAAAGATTGTCGTTGTGGCCAAGGCCTTTGGCCTACAAGCCATAGATCTGGTGTACATTGACTTCCGGGATGGAGAGGGGCTGCGTAGGCAGTCGAGAGAGGCCGCCGCCATGGGCTTCACCGGTAGGACTCTGACGATATCTTAGAAGCTGTGTCTAGACTAGCGAGTGCTGTGGAGAAATAGAAATTTCACCAGCAAGTATATTTCTCATGTCCTCGGAGATCACATTTAATTATTCCACAATGTACAGCATGAAAAGGCCAAGAGCAACAACCACCTGACAAATCAGTTGTCAGCTCTTCCTCTGGCTCTGCAAATCCAAAAGCAAGCCGCTTGTTTTGCTTCCTCTCTATATTCGTTGCCTTTTTTCCTCCCTCCTCTTAAGTATTTTAGTACAGTTTTGGCGGAGCCAAACCGCAGCTGAAGGAAGCTGTTGTGACTAGGGTGTTTTGGCCTGAACTGCCATAAAGATTTGGGTTCAGGACTGGATGGAAATTTCCTTAAAATAGCCCGAATGTTCATTTATTTCCGAAGAAAAATTGCTGATCTCTTTCTATGATTTGATTTTTACTCAGAATTAGTTTTTGTCCTTTTGCCACTTCCTCTCCTGCCTCCTGGTAAGTGACCTGGCAACACTTGCGGCCTTGGCTGGCACAGCAGGTCCCTCACAGCCCAGCCTGGGGCACAGGCGGGCAGCTGATGAGTGGTGCACTCCACCACTCCGCTCCCATGGGCCTGGGGAGCAACCGAAGATTGGGGGTTTTTTTGCAACAGAAATCTATTTCTTGAAAAACCGCGATAATTTCCTATATATAAACACACATGTGAACACACATACAACCAGCAACCACAGAATAATATGCTCTTTTACCATATGCTCTTTTATTCTTATCTGTTCTCATGCTGAAAGTTCTAAGAATATTTTTACTAGAAATATACCCAAATAATAAGGAGCAAACAAGCACCCTGCTATCCCTGTTATAGATCTTTGGGAATTGTGTCTCATTAAGGATAACTAAAAGAAGGACCTCATACAGTGCCCTCAGATATAAAAGGTACCTTGATGGATGATGTTTTAACCTGAAATAAAACCAGAAGATTTAGAAAGAAATATAATAGCCAGGCACGATAGCACACACCTGTGATCCCAGCCACTTGGGAGGCTGAGGCAGGAGGATCACGAGTTTGAAACCAGCCTGGACAACTTAATATGAGTCTCAAAATTTAAAAAATAAAAAGGGCTGAGGATGTAGCTCATGGTATAGTGACCCTAGGTTCCATTCCCAATACCACAAAAAAGGAAACAGCGATATTATCAACATTCAGGCTGTATTAGAATTAAAGCTCTGACATTTGCCTTTTGTATGTTTAAAACAAAGAACTAAAATAAACTGAGCCCCTGATTCTTAAAATTAAAAAAATCAGTGTGATCCCTTCTAGAGAAATATTTTTCAGTGATCCAAACTGTCCATAAATGACTGCTCCCTACATTTAATAGAGCCCGGGGAAGGAAGGCACCCCTCCCTCTTCCTCCGTCCTCCTCCCCAGGCCTGTGCTTGTCCCTGCCTCTGCCCAGGACCTGACTAGCTTGTGGCCCAGATGGGAAAGTTGGAGAAAAACTCCGTGCAGTCTATCTAATAGCCCCTGATGTTGTGGGCCTGAAACGTGTGGCACTGGCTGCCAGGCAGCCAGATGTTGTTTCAAAATGAGAACTAATTCAGTGAAAAAGAGAAAGCCCTGGCCTGCGTCCCCAGCCCTGGGTATAAGTTTCCTCAGCTTTCTCTGGGGTTGTGTTTGCCCCAGAGCTTCAAAGGGAGCTTGAGGGGGTCCCCAAGATAGAAGACTGAATTAAATTGGTCCCCAATTCACTCGCAGAAGACAGGCGATTTCAAATCAGGTTTAAATTTCTAGACGGTGCCCAACTCAGCACGAAGAACTTATGGGCCTGGCACGACGGTTTCTCCAGCACGGGGAGCATTAAATCACAGAGACGCAAAGGCGGGGCGCGGTGCCCACGATGCGCTCACGCAAACGTGCCCACAGACGGGGGCCACACTCCGAGGCCATTTTTTTTTCCACAGAGGTCTTTGTTGTCCCATTTATATTTCTACATACTAATCAACGGTAAAAAAGATAGGAGATTATTTGTAATATTTTTAAATGCTCTTGTACTGAGTATTTTAGACCACTCACTATCAATTTGTACTAATGGTTTGGCATTTAATTGCCATACCTTGAGCCTCACATAAGAAGGGAAGAAAAGAAGAAAAAGAATAAAGGAAGGGAGGGAAGAAGGAATAAGTACTGTGACCCAACTCTGAGGTATCTATCAGAAGCCGGTGATGGAAAGGGTTAGAACCCAGGGCCGGCCCTATGTTATCTGTAATATATGAGGAAGACTGAATCTGGGCTATTAGGATATGCTGTACTTTCAAATATATATATATATTTTTTTCTTAATAAATCATAGTTGTTTAAAAGTTAGTCGTGCACTAACTGTACACTATGGTTTCTTTTCTGCAGTCATTATTTCATGGTGTCAGGATCTGTGCTGATTGATTTTAAATCAATACATTGGTTATATGAATAGGCATTAACTTGGGGATTTTTTAAATAAAAAACACCCAAACTAAATCTAGGAATAAAGCTTTGCCAGCTGACTTAGTCATTACAGTTACTCCACTACTACATGCTGGGAAGAAAGATTATAAATAGGAAGCACTATAGGTTTTCTTCTTTTTTGCAGCCTTTTGTAGAAAACAAAAATGACACCATCATACAGTTACCTAAAAGACTTGACAGGTATTGATTTAAAGCAAGATATATCAAGTGCTACTGTAAAAAGGATTTCATGGTCATAAATTTTAATGTCGTCCAATTTTGCACCCTCTCAGTAACTTGTCAATAATAACTCTTCTGGATAAAATATTTGCTTCGTTTCCACATGGCATTCAAGCCTGTTATACAGTTGTTGGGATGTAGATGAAGGCAACGAAAGAGAACCTTACCTATGAATGTACGTGAATTTCTAAAATCTCACACATCTTAAAATTAGCCTCACTACCAAAATATAAATATTTGACAGCCATCAAAGATTTCACGGTATTTTCGGGAGTTTCTGTTTGCTCCTCAAATTGTAGTGCCTGAATCAAGAGTTTTCCATGAAACTTGCTTTTTTACACATAAGTGGAAATTATGTACATAATTATGGAATTCAAGACAAACAACTGACAGCCTTTATTAATATTGTAACTAGTAGATTAGTTAAATACATTCAATACCTACACTTTGAAAGAGTTCTCGTTTGTCATCATTCATGTTATGTTTCTAGAAATTATTCTTCAAATAATTAAAAACTTTATTTATATAGATTGTTAATGTTTTATTAGCATGGCAACAGATAAGAAAGAAATAGCAACATGAAAATATTTTAATCATGCCACTGTAAAGCAAAGAGGTTTTTTCTAGCTAAATTCCTTCTCATGACACACTGAAACATTTTTCTAAAATCATTGTTCTTTTTCTATTGGACAAAATAATAACGGTAACAGAAGTTGATATTTTATCAAACGTCCAGCATGTCGTCTGTACTGACTAAATGTTAAAGCAACTATTTTAAATGAAAAGCTAATTCATATACCAACAGATATACAGAGTAAATGACCATTAAGTGTATATTCATTTTTAAAGAGGTAAATTGTATCCGTAACCTTATCATGTAATAAAATATTTCATCATTATTGTAACAACATTAAATTATGTTGCATTTTATTAATTACCCAACTAAATTCCAAACTTCCCTGATTGATAAATTGTTTTCCTAATGACAGTATGATTTCACAGAACCCCTTGACTCTTATGATGTTTTTGTTTAAAATCCTTAAACTTCAAAACAAATCATAAATATTTTTAGATGTTTCTGTACAGCTAATATTTCTTCTGGGATGTGTAAGTGGCCATAAAGGGGGGAAATAGCCAGTCTTCATTCTATAAGAATAAAGGAGAAATCTGGATACTTTGAGGCTAGAGACATTTTCTGTAATTTTTTATTTTAAAAATTAGAATAATCTAGATGTCACATTGTTCAAATTTGCGTTCTATTTTATTGCACTGAATATACTATTTTTGTTGAAATTCAACTTTCTGTTAGGGGTTAGAAATGACACATTTTAAAGACAGAAAATTAAATGTATCATTGTAAGGTAGCATTTGATATTAATACAGCTGTAATGCCTGCTTCCATAAGCCCTGTGATGACTGACATAGCAGAACTACAAGAAACCGTGGAAGGTGCATAATCCTACAGCATAAGCAAAAGAGAACTCACAAAATTTGAGAGAATTCTCACTGAATTTCATTTTCCTTTAACTCAAGATAATCACTGTCATTTGTGGATATCACCCTTTAACAGTGAGCTGCCTCGTTATCCACCTGCAACTAAAACCGAGATAATCTGCACTGAAGCCCTTCCCCTTCCGCAGGCTCAGAGGCACAGTGCCTTCCATTACTGTATGTATTCTTGTGCTTTTCTGGAAAGGCCTGCCTGATGACAGGTTTTGTTTAACTTCTTTCTTCAAAACAGTTCTAAACTTGTTATTTAGCGCATGGTCTGGGGGGCATTCAGAAACTTTTTGTGGTGGACACATTTTGTCTGAATGTGTGTCAGTGGTGCAAGGCCCCGTGTTACTCATCTCTTTCAGGTAAGCAGGTGATCCACCCGAACCAAATCGCCGTGGTCCAGGAGCTGTTCACCCCTGCCCCAGAAAAAATCCAGTGGGCTGAAGAACTAATTGCTGCTTTTAAAGAGCATCAGCAATTAGGAAAGGTAAATGTCTGTTAATGCCTTGGCTGGAACCAGTGTTTAAAATACTGTGGGGAAGAATAAAAAAATGTGTGAATGGGGCTGGGGATTTAGCTCAGCGGCAAAAGCGCCTGCCTGGCAAGCGCAAGGTCGTGAGTTTGGTTCCCGGTACCGGAAAAAAACCAAAAAACCAAAAAAAAAAAAAAATGTGTGAATGGTTTTAGGAAAACTCATTGTAGTTGGTGGGGTGGACACAAGATTCATCTCTAAAGGTAGATTCACCCACTCCTGTCCCTAAATGTTTCCCTGGCGGCCTCTCAAGTCTCGCATTTTATTCTTTTTCATAAAATATACTGGCAGCCTTAGAGAAAAATAGAAGTCTGTTTAGCTTTTCCTCTACAGACTTCAGTGCAGCATTCATATGAAAATAATTTTAGATCAAAGTGAGAGCAAGTTGTAATGAAATAAACACAGTTTGACCAAATGGTTCTTGTGGAGAAAAGAAATAAATTTCAAGTTATTTTAATTTTGGGGGGGGGGAAAGTACAAAAATCTCCTCCGGTTTAGTCATTGAAGAGTGGGAGGTTGTATGTGTGTTTGTACCAATTTCTGGACCTGCGATTTGGATCGAATGGAAAGCAAATTAACACTGGAGTACGGTTGTTCCTAATTTAGTGCGTCATTGAGCCCCGTTTCCTGCTCTGTGGGTTTCTGCTATGTAAATATTGCAGTGGTAATGCACAATCTGTCTCCACTTTGTGCCAGTAACACTTAAATTAGGTGTCGCCTGAAGGAAGATTTTATGCTAGTTGCAGCATTGTCAGTTAATTATCTTAAAGGTTATTTGCAATAATACCGCTTGCCTCTTTTTAAGAGGATAGGAAAGTTACATTTATAAATCTATCCTAGAGGTAGTCTCTAAACTCAGCCTGTGACTTCCATAAGGAATGGACTTTCCATGCTTTCAATGCAAATTACTTTGGAAAGAAAGAATATGGAAAGAAATATTAAGGCTCTAAATGTTGAACAGTCTCCCTTGCCCTCCCTGCCCCCACCCCACAAAAAAAGTTGAAAAAGAAAACAACTGGTTTTCAGTGATGAAACTGTGACACTCATCTGAGACTCTTGAGAGAAGTGTCGCTTGCACTTTCTCTGGCAGTGAGAACACCTGAAAGTCTTAGGATTTGCAAAAGTAGGTAACATTATTAAGTGGGTCATTCCCCATGGACATGTGCCTTCAGCCATGACCATGCATGCATGTTCTCTCTCTCCCTCTCTCTCTCTCTCTCTCTCTCACACACACACACACACACACACACACACACACACACACACACACGGGCTCATCTTTGTACAAACTCACACCTAATATCCCAGAGCAAAGTACGTTGTGTTGAAAACATCCAATTTGGACATATACCAATTTCATGATAAATAGCATATTTCATTTCACATCAACAGTGGCGATCAGAAAAATAATGCGTTTCATAGAAAAATATTTTCAGGTTGACTATGTGTTTTGTGTCCATTTCTATATCATAACCCAAAAATCAAGACTTTGCATGAATAACCATAGATATTTATCTAGCGAGAGGAGCATGGACTCTTTCATTCCTACATGCGAGCCCCTCCCTTGGCTCTCTCACATACCTGCCTTCGCACACACACTAAATGCCTTGCACGCCCACAGCAGCTGAGGGTCTCCACGCAATAAACACTTTCTCCTGAGACGGGACACTGAGGCAGCCTGTGCTCCATTTAGATGACGGACAACAGAGTTCCGGTGTGGGCTAGCTTGCCCCCGTGAGCCGTCCCAGCTGGGTGTGGCATTGTTGGGTGGCATCAGAGGCTGCCACCTGGGCTTGTAAGAAGTTAGGGTGTGGGGGAGGTCACCCTAAATTTCAGCAATCAGCAAACAAAACTCCAACCAGAAACGTGCTTTTCCTGGCATTTAAGTTCATGAATGAGGAAAACAAGCCGTTCCCATTGTACCTGGAAAATACAGTTCCTAGGGGAAATTGCCCCAAAGTTGCCCATGCCTGTTGATGAGGGCAACTTAAATGTTAGGTTCTGAGCTATTTGCCGTGTTTTGGTTTTAAATAAGAGATGCCCTCTTGTTGGGGCATAAGCTTTCACAACAGTGTGGCGAGACAGCTTTTCTTACCACATAACCATAGAAACTGGAGCAGAGGAGAGACTGTTAGGTCATTTCCTCCCTGCCCCATTCTTGGAAGTTTGTTTCCTACAGCAAACTCTTCTGGTGCTTTGTCCAGCAAGGTTTAAATGGTTCAAGTAATAGAGCTTCCAGTAGGGACGTATGGTGATTTTATCCGGTTAGCATGTTCCTTTCACTTTGCCTATAAACTGGCTGGTCACAGAAATTGGGCCTGCAGGTAGGTGACTCTAGGTCATGCGGGGTTCTTGGGGTTTTAAGTAGTGTGGGCTGTGTTTGCAAAGATTTTGTATGAATAGGTTGCTCGGCTGTAGAAAGTGATCTCCTCCGACAAACATCTAATCTGTTTTATTTCGAATGTGGCTCACTGATGAAAACATGAGCCCTCCAATACTTTGTCCAAAGCTCAGATGACTCTCAAATGTGGGAGACTGTTGGCTGGTGTCCCTTTGGGACACTCATGAATTTCTAAGAGACCTACCCCCCGCCATGAAAATGTCATCCAAGTTACGTTTTTATGGAGAAATGACCCCAGAAGGCAGAAGCATGCATCTTTGCTTTTCTCTGCTTCTCCTTGCTCCTAGCTTAAATTCCACCCAGAGACCAAAGGCACAGCTGAAGTTCACAGTTAATGCCGGTCATTCGTGTTTTCTGCAGTAGTCGTAGTAATAGTAATAGGAGTAGTAGCAGTAATAGTTGTTCTGTTGTTGTTATTGTTCAAAATTAAGTCTGACATTTTCTTCTGCCCTCCCTCTCCAAAGAATAAAAATCATGGGAATACTTAGATCATGAGCACGTAAGTTCTTGGGGTTCAGTCTTTGAGATCACAAAATTTTATTTCAATTAGAGATTCTGTGGAAATAAAGTTTGATGGCCTTAGTACAATGTCAGGCAAAGAAAAAACAGTTTATATTAAAATAATAATGATAATCAACCCACAAAATCTCTCGCTGTTTGGCAGGCACTGATATTTATGGTGGCACTGTTTCAGCTCAGAGATTTTCAGGCTGAAGAATTTTGCCTGGCACAGTGGTCCCCAGTACTGAGAATGCCGGCAACAGAATATTATTAGGGACTTCAGGTTTCCTTCCCCTATTAAAATCTCTCAGAGAAGTGTAAGCACTTAGTAATCTCTGCAATTTTAATTCCCAGAAACCAAAATATTTTTAATTTAGCTGACATAGTTGTGAAGTATCCAACCACAATATTAATTAAACTGATTCTTTCTCTCATCCTTTGAGAAAAATGTATTTGGAGACACAACCCACGTGTCATTAATTATTCTAGCTTCAAATTATTTGGTAAAGTACTTTAGCCAGAATAAATCATCCCCATGTAGTTCGTTTTAAATTTATAAAGGAATTTCTAAAAAGTTCACTTCATTTTTGATGTTATATTTTCATAGTAATGGTAATTCCAATAATATTTGAAAACCCTCCATTCAGAACTGCATTTGGTATTGACTTACTAAAGAAACATGGTTTTAACAGTTCTTTTTTTTATCAACTAAGAATTTTATACAGCGTGAAAACTGGATAATTAAAATAAAAGCCTCCCAAGCAAATAATTAGTCAATATTGATATCAATAGCAACTATGACTTAGAAATGAGTACATATAGCATACCTGTTAATGCAATATATAAGTACTTTCTTTTTTTATATGTACTTTTAAGTGTATTTGATAATGTGTATTTTTTCACATCGATATTATGAATCATTTTTTTCTCTCTTTATTCATCGCTTATTAGACCAAAATGACAGCCAAAAAGACAGCTTCTTTTTAAATATGATTACTAGTCATAGCAAGTCTTACTATCAGAATTAAGCTTTTCCTTCTAAATGGAAACTCTACCCCAAAAATGTGAAGGAATTAAAAAAAAAGGTGATAGATGTTTAAAGGTATTCTGCTAGAATAGTCCTATTTCTGCAGTATCTAGCTACAAACATGTCCTTGCCTTATTTCTAGTTTTCTGATAAGCATTCTGTTTTATTTATATCATTGCTGTAAGTGCTTTATTTGGGTTTCAAAGGATTTTGTTTGACTTTTTCGATATTTTTCATTCATCATGGCTTCACAAGCTGGCCAAAGACCAAGGAAGGGGAAATGTTTCATCTTTAAAATCTAGGTTCAGTTAACAATTACAAGGGTCAAAAACAAAGTCACTACCTGACATACCAATTGTAAATATCACACATAACAGGAACATTGAAATTTCACTCATGAGAGAACAACGGTGCAAATTACTGAGCTAAAATTAATAAGCACATCCTGTCTTGGATCATACATGAGGAACGCACACATCCCTTAATAAGGAAAGAAAACAGAAAGTAAAATTTTTTTCCCCTCATGTGAATCTTTTCATCTAGAAAATTACAAACGGTCATAGATCTCTCCCTTCCCAAATACTGAAGGCAAATTAGTTTCGAAGGTATCTGACTGCGGCTCACACACCTTTCATTTTTGTTGCCAAATGCAGGCCCTGACAAAAGAAATACTGCTCGGTCCAGATGGCTTCTTGAAGGCTCCCTCAGAGAACTCAGACAAGTCTCTCTAGCCAAAAATATTGTTTCCGCTTAGTCAAGTGCCAGAAATCCTACCGCCACTCTTTCACACAGATCAAATAAACCATCTAAAGATTTGGTTGTTGTCTTTGTCAACTGAAAGGGTTGTCGTCCACTAATAGACGACAGTGTGCCCTCCCACCCCACCACCCACAGCCTTTCCCCTTTCTCTGAGAGCAGGAACACTCAAAATCAGAGCCAAGTGATTTCTGGGGAAAATGAAAGGTGGAACGACAGAACTCCACTTTGGAGTTTCTTGATAATTGCCCTCCCCCATGTGTCCTTGTT